GCTGAGATCTGAGGATCCAGGTTCAAAGCCAACCTGGGCAGGAAAACTCCATGAGACTTTTATCTCCAATAAACTACTCAAGCAAGCTCCAAGTCTTCAGGCCAAGTGGTAGAATGCTTGCCTTGAGCAAAAGAATCTCAGGGATAGCATCCAGGCCCAGATTTCAAGCCCCAGGACCAGTCAAAACAAAAGAGTCTCACAAATATTCCTGTCCACGTAGCTTTGAACTGTGTGATTCTAAGTCTCAGGCTCCTAAGTAGCTAGTATTATAGTGTGAACTACCATGTCTGACAAACCGTATTTCTGAGGAACACTAAAGCCCCCAGTTGGATGCAACTGGAAGATGGATTTACATCCAGTGGAAATTTATCACTTTCTCTTGGGCTGCTTCTCCTCCTGACTCAACCTTTCACCACTAATATCTCTGTTTCCCCCTCATTCAGCTATCACTCTCTCACCTCCTAGGATTTGCTCTCGACACCCTGTAACTTTTGAGGGGCTCTCCTTCATCATTGTTCATCCTCCTGGCTCTCCTAACATTTGGCAGATTTAGCCAATAAAAATCTGGACTATCCAATTGATTGAATTTCAGTAAATGAATGATTTCCCTGACATCATATCTTGGGTAATATTTGGAAGGAAATTTGTGCTACTAACTCTTCAATAGTTACAGTATATGAAATTCAAATTTAGCTGACTGGCTTTTATCTTACTTCTCTGGTCTCCATTTTTACTGCCTGAACCTTGCCCTTAACCTTTCTATCATAAGTCACAGCCTTTCTGTCTCTTGGTGTAACTCATTCATCTTTGTCGATCCCAGTCCAATCTGTCTCATACCCTAATTATCACGTCTGATTTCCCACTACCCAGTTTCTCTTGATTATGTATAGAGCCATCCAGATAAGCCTTGATCCCTTCTTCTCCTCTTCCATTTTCTTTCCTCCCCAACTTTTCCTTCCTCCCCTCCCAGCCCTGTTGACTTGCCAGTCCTGCCTCTCCTACACCCTACATCTGATTCTTTGGACCTTGGTTCTCCTTCCCCACCTCCCTTCCATACTATACTCAGAACTTCATCCCTTCTCCTGACTCATCTTCAGGCTTCTTCATTTGTGGAAGTTAAATCTTCATGCTACTTCCCTGTCTCAGACTTTCCCTGGTTCCTTCATTCTCCTAAGATAAAATTTAAACCCTTAACTTGGATCACAGGACATTTTACATCTCAGCCTCTGCCTGTCTTTTAATTTAGCCTCTGGTGCCCACCATGAAATGGGCTATGTGCTTCATGGCATGCCCTTCACTCTAATATTAGAAAAGAGAGGTGAGTAATGCAATCAAGGTAGCATGATGGGCTTAGCAGACTGTAGGAGACCTTTGGAGACTCCTAACCAGCTAGTGGTAATTTGTACAAGATTACAGTGAAATCTCTAACTCCAGGTCTAGACCTCTTTCTACTACTTGATGCAGGCTGACCAAAAGAGTGCATTCTGTCTTGCCCAACAGAATGAAAACAAAACAAAACAACAAGAAAAGTAACAGGATGACCCATGATTAAAATACAAACTAAGAATTAAAATGAAAAAAATTCATAAAAGTTACAACAGTGACACTAAATCTCAGTGAAAGGCAATCATATAAATACTGAATTTACAAGACAGAGACCCAGGGAGATACTTCACTTACGTAAGCACAGCCTTGATGTTAGCTTGTGACTCATCCATGTTTTCCAAGTAACAGAGCACCCAGGAAACAGAGCACCCACATGTGAAAAACGTATTTGGCAGGAGGAAAATGGTGTCTATGCCTTTTATTCTAATATCCACAAACAATTAGAAAAAAATTACCTTGAAAAATCTAATGAATTAAGGATGCATGCCAAAAAAAAAAAAAAAAAAAAAAAAACAGGACTGTAACTTTGATAAGCCATTAAGTGATGTCTAAGAGAATTCCAAAAGGAGTACTGTCAAAATTAAGGCAGAGGGAAAGTGGGAGAAAAAAATGATGTTCAACAATAACTGTACTCATTACATTACTTATGTAACTATAACCCCTCTGTATGCCACTTTTACAACAAAATAAAATAAAATAAGGCAGAGAACAGAGGAGAAGAGGACAGTAAGAGATTTCTAGTATGACTTTCAATTCAAGAGGGATACTGAATGTGTTTGAAGAATCCTGTTTTTTTAAATTGCAGGCTTTGGTCAATGTCAAGAACTCAATTTAGTGGGTCATGATGGTCAATTTCTTTTTAATGAAAGAAAATAGAATCTAATAGAAAGTACCACATTGTATTTCCTTGTAGTAAGAGCAATATTGAATTGCATAGACCACTGTGGGCATATATGTGTGTATTAGAAATTTTAATAAATATTTCAAATTAGCATATCTTAATTATACCAAGGGGTTTTATTGTGATACTCCATCATACATGCATATGAAATACTTGTATCAAATTTACCTCCTTTGCCCTCTCCTTTTGCTCTCCCCTCCATTTTGCTAGCTCCTCTCTATTTATATTCATATCATAGAATCAAAATTTTATGTGGCGAGTTATATTTACAAGTCTAGAAGTCTTTCTTTAGAAAGAACTCCATTTTTGACACATGTGAAAAACCCACTCAGTTACTAGTATTGTCCATTTCCCTCATCTTTTGGAGTCTATGCTAAAATTAAACAGAATGGGGGTGGAATATTAGAACTGGAGAGAAGAAGCAATGTAATGCAGCAGAATGTAAATGAGCACATTGATAATAAGAGACCAAAGAGCAAAAGAATAAAACAGATGACCCTTGGCCTTTCTCCCCCACAAAGCCTCCTGCTTAAAACAAGTAAAGATCCTTCTACAATTTCCTTCCTCATTGGAAAACTGGATACACTGTAGCTGTCCAGTAAATGCTCATCCAACAAACCCCTCTAAGCATTTATGTTCTCTCTGTGGTAATGTTTTTCATGCAGAACAATGATTATCCTTTTTTTTGGTTGAACGTGGGGCTTGAACTCTGGGCCTGGGCGCTGTCCTTGAGCTCTTCAGCTCAAGGCAAGTACTCTACAACTTGAGCCACAGCACTACTTCCAGTTTTCTAGTGGTTTGTTGGAGATGAGTCTCAAGGACTTTCCTGCCCGGACTGGCTTTGAACCACGATCCTCAGATCTCAGCCTCCTGAGTAGCTAGGATTACAATGTCAATCCCTTCCACGCCAAGCTGTTCTTCAAGGAGTAGCATTGCCACTCTTGTATCCCCATTTATACAATAGTGCCAGCTCAGTAAGTGTTGGTTAGAACTAGAGAGCACCAAAAGACAGTAACAATCTAGTGCTATTGCTAATACCCATTTTATAGTTGAAGCAGTAACTGATTTTGATTGATTGATCAAAAGTTACTTCAATGGGAGGGAAACTAAACTTACAACAAAATTCTAAACTTATGTTTCCAGTGAGAAAATAGCCTGGAATCTCTTACTCCACTTGGCCTAAAGGACAGGTTGACTTAAAGGATTTGTCACATCCTTTTTATAGAAGAAGGGCCTCTTGACTGGTTATTTAGGATACCAAGCTCAGACCTACTTTTCAAACCCAATCTGGCACTAAGGGGAGCATAAGAGATGCTTTTTTTTCCAGTCTGGACAGCTTGAGAACAACAAACACTTCGAATCCAACACTTTGGAGTGAGTTCAGAGGTCTTGTCTACATTGCTAACTGCAGCAAGGCTGCGTGCCAAGGAGCGCTAGATTTGGGGAAGCAGTGGATAAACGGGTCTGTCAATACTGGGTCAAGCCCTGGTGGTTTTTCCTCAAAAGAAGGCCAGCCTGAGGAGAAATGAGGGAGGGATGGGGTGTGGTATTTTTCCTTTCTCTCCCTTCTTCAGCTCCATCATCCCTTCAGGCTTCAGCCTAGGTGACCAAACCATTCACCAGCAATTATGGCAGCATAGATATAGCCAGAGGTCCTGGTTCCTCTGACTAGATTCCCGGGGAAGGTACCCAGTGCTTTATCCATGGGTGAAAATGCCCTATAGCAATAGATTAACTCAAATACAAAGGATTGTTTACTAGGCACTACTTACTCTCCCTTGAGCCAGGCCAGCCTTCAGATAGCTATGGCCAATAAATGATTCTCTTTATCAAGAACATCACCGAGTACTCAAGGTAGAGATTAGAGCCCTTGACCTTCTGGTATGCTAAAGCACACTCTTTCACCTTTCTTTGTCCCATCCCTGGCAGGTAGTCAAGTTTCACTGCCAGGTGATGGAAAAAGCAAAGAGGAGATACAAGCTGTTGTTTTCAGAGAGACACCTCCCTCCCCAGTAAAGCGTTGTCCTGGTAGCTACCTCAGGAAGTCAAGCGAATTTCCCCAAAGACATTAATATTCCATAGTTTAAGTGCCAACATGTACACTCTGTGTCTGCTCTTCCTGCCACACCTCTTTGTCCTCTGGATGGTGCATCAGCTTCTGCGATCCTAAGGTAGTCCCTGTGGCTTCCTGAGTCTGTCATGATCTAAGGCTCAACTTGATCTTTAACTCCATCACGCTCTTGCCGACATGCTCCAGCCACACCAACTAATTTGCAGTTCCCCACACGACTCCTGTTTCTGTCTCTACAAGAATTCGGCACATGCAGTCCTCTCTTCTTATAATACTCTTCTTGATCCCTTTCTTCTTCGTGCTAACACATCCTCAGTTTTTAGGTTTCTGTGGAAGTGTCATTTCTTCCAGCAACCTTTCCCACATAAAGACTGAGTTAGATGCCACTTTCACTGTAGTGCAAATGTCTACTTTCTGTTCATCTACCCCACTAAACTAGGAGCTCCCTGGGACACTTTTTGTCACTGAAATAACCTGATTCATTTGAGTCATGCCACAAAGCAGACACTCATGTATTCGTTGGAGAGTTGAGTGCCTGTTAGCAAATGGTCCTGCCCTGTAGAACAATCTTTAATTGAATGGTAGCAGCCTCAAGCTGTTGGGTAGCTAAACACTTTCTGTAATCTAGCTTGAAACACCTACCTAGGATGGCCACCACTTCATCATCCTGGATCACCTCTAGGGAGCCAGACACCACAAAGCAGAGGCTGTCAACACTCTCCCCGGCGTGGTAGATGAGGTCCCCCGGGGCACAGTGCACAGTCTGGAACTCCATGGCCAGGGCCCGCAGGCAGCCATCGCTGGCCAGTCGGAAGGCTGGGTGCTCCTTGAACACCTTGCGGTTCAGGTGTACACAGATGTCAGCTCGCATGTCCTTGGGGCAGATCTGCAGTACCTGATGGAACAAGGGAAAAAGAAGTGTGCCAGTCAGCACTGGAATCTCCAGCCTCCTTCCCTCAGCACTTCAAGCAGTAGAAGCGGCACTCATGAGGCTGGAGCACATTCTTCTAGTCAAAGTGTCTGCCCCCCTGGTATTTCCACTGCGTGGAAGAGACAGGTGGTATCTAAAACAGCTAAACTCAATGCTTAGGACTCCTGATGCTGAGAACTAGGGCTGGGAGTAGACCAGATATCGGGGAGCCAGAAAGTGACATTTAAACTGACATCTCCATAATGTATCAGAGGGAGTTATGTCACATTTCAGCAGAATGATAAACACATAGGTTCTCGGGAGGCCTGAGCAACCTAAGTGCAGGTGAGGGGAAAGGCCTAGGAGATCCGTTCAGAGAGGGCACCAAGTGTTGAGAGAATTTTAGGTCATGATAAACCTTGTACCACACCAGACAGAGAGACAAACTTTGGAAGGCTTTTGAGCAGGGAGATGCTACGAGTGAACACATATTTTCAGAAGAATAATGCAGTCTCAGAATGGAGGTAGAGAGCTGTGATGGCAAAAGGAAAGAAGAGAGTCCAGGAATCTAGTCTTAGAAACTGGACTCCTGGATCTGTGTTGATAAGCCATGAGGGGAACTGTGGGCAGTGAGGCCACTTGAGAAGTGACCAAGTTCAGATTCCACCCATAAGCAAATTACATATTTCAATTGATACACAGTAATCGTACATCCGTGGGGGAGGCAGAGTATTTTAATGCATGTCTACAATGGATGATGATGAACTCAGGGCAATCAGCTCCTCAAATCTGTGTCATTATTTTGTGGATTTGGGGGGAACATTGTGTTGAGAACATTCATAATACTCTCTTATTTTTCATAATAGTCTCTGCTATCTTGAAATCAACAGTAAACTGATTAACAGGTACAAAATTGTAATTTAGAAGGAATAAGGTCTAGTATTATATAGCACTGTTGGCTAACAATAGACTAAAGAATACATTCTGATTAGAGACAAAGGTGCCATTCTTTTAAATCCCCAGGTGTACTGGAGATTGAGCTTAGGTCCTTGAGCTTGCTAGGCAGCAGATACTTTACCACTTAGCCTTACCTCCAGCCCCCAAACATATCTTGCTTATAGAACTAACATGATTATAGGATATTTTTAAAGAGATACATAAAGTAATACTTACTGAGCACTTATAGCATGCCCAGCTTTGCTAAGTACTTCATTTTATATATAAAAATTAATACCTATGTCCTAAACATTGTTTTAGGCTCTGAGAATGTAGCAATAGAAAAAAAGAAATAGACAAAATTCTCCGTCCTCATGAAATTTACCATCCAGTGAAAGAGACAAATATAACAAGCAAAATAAGTAAAATTTAATAGTGCTAAAAAGAATCATTATGTGCATGCTAAAAGAACAATAAGATATAAAAATAAAGAAGGGTAAGACTACAGGTTTTGCATTTTGAAATGTTCCATGCATTGGCTTAGTGCTTATATGAACACTGTGATATATGTTATTATTGTACCACTTTACAGATGACACAGGGAAGCTAGTTTACTTTCTCAAAGTTGCACAGCAAGGACATGGCAGAGCTGTGATCTCAAACTAGGTATTTTAACATCACAGCCCAGGTTATATCCTGATCAACATACAAAGCAGAGAGACTTCTACTATGACTTGCAGCATTTGGAAAAATGAAGAAGGGAGTAACAAGGTTCGGCAAGAAATGTACTCATTACTTTACTCATGTAACAGTAGCCCCTCTATACAGCATCTTTACAATTAAATAAAATTTTAAAAAAATGGGGGGAACTGCAGGTCATGTGGATCTCATCTTCGGAAAAAAATAATTTAATTCTCTAGCATTTCTAGGGGGAGCAATATTTCTCCAGACTACATTTTTTGTAAGAAAATGTTGCATAGCTCTTATATAAAAAGCATTAAGAAACACAATGGAACACCTTCAGAGAAAGCAGGAGTGCTTCTAAAATATTAATTCCTCACCCCCAGTCTGTGAACGAAGTGGGGTGAGGGGCATAAAGCCAAATGTGTTCAGCAGAAAGTTTGCCTTGTGGTCCTGGCCCAAACCGTTTGCTTCTGCATCTTGAAACTCACTCAGAAGTTTGCAAGTCCACTGCTTCCCCACATCAAATCTCACCTTGCCCTTGACAGCTTCATTCTAACCATCCCCAGTACCTCTGCTCTCTCTACAGAGTAAGGCAGTGAAAAGAAGTCAAATGATTGAACTGCCAGCTCCTTCATCTCAAAGTGACTTGACCACTCTAAACTTCCACTTTAGCTATCAGACAGCTAGCTGGGTACTGGTAGCTCATTCATATAAACCTACTCAGAGGATGAGATTTGACAATTGTGGTTTGAAGCCAACTGGAGCAGGAAAGTCAGTGAGACTTATCTCCAATTAAATACACACACACACACACACACACACACACACACACACACACACACACACACACACACACACACACACACACACACACACACACACACACACACACACACACACACACACACACACACACACACACACACACACCCCAGAAGTGGACCTGTGATTTGAGTGGTAAAGTGCCAGCCTAGAGCAAAAAACTAAAGGAGAATGCTCAGGCCCTGCATTCAAATCCCAGTACTGGCACCAAAAAAAAAAAAAAAAAAAAAAAAAAATGCAGACAGCTAATTGACTTGGGAAAGTGAAATGAAATAGTACATAAAAGTACACTGCCCAGACAGTGTTTGGCCCCATTGAGGGGCTCAATAAATACCTCTCCCCTTCTCTTGGAGCCTCTGCCTCCTTCCTCTACCAGCACAGGAAGGCCAGGGAGTAAGCACTCTCTGGGAGTGGAGGAGGAGGGCTGACTGGGGATTGAAGGTACTCAAACTGCCAAAGTCTGGGCCGAGTGCTTGCTAAGTATCGCCTACCATAAGGCTCCTGACAAACAAGACTTCTCCAGATGTACAGATTTAATTTGAGGTTTTGTCTCCCCAAGCAGATCGCCAAGGAGGGGAAGCATGTGTGTGTGTCATATCAGAACTGTACTCAGCAGCTCAGAACCAAGATTCATTCTCCAGGTGACTTCACATGTAAATATTTGGTTTCCCCTGAGTTGAGTTCTGCCAGCCGGTGCTGCCAGTGAATGAAGCCTTGGCCTGGAGGTAATGTTTTATTCATGGCACCTATTCCAGAGCCCAGGAGAGTACTGTTAGAGAAAGGGGAAGAAGGAGAGAGAATCTGAAGTCAAGGAATCAGACTGCTGAGCCAGTGGGCCTTTCCATCACTCTTCCTGTCTTCCGTCTTTCTCGCCTCCCTCAGAGGGAAGGGCTCAGCTCTGAGACCGTGCATCCTTCCTAGCTTGCCTTCTCTATGCCAGGCTCTGAGGACTAGCCTTCTATTCCTTGAGAGCCTGAAAGACTGTGAGACTCAGTACCTCCGCCAGCCTGGGCAGCAGGAGGTCAAGGCTGTGACAGTGAGTGCATTCCTCCCGGCCTCAGCACTCACTGGAACTTGAGCTCCTCTCATGAAGTCTTCAGCTTTGAACTTGTGTATGGCCTTTTATGAGGCATCCATGAGCTGTGTGTGGCTAGTCTGGCACCATGCCTGACACAGCCGCGTGTTTCATGCCTGTTGGTTGCCACCTTGTTGCTGTTAGACAGTAGCAGCTAAGGAAGGAGGCTTTGTAGTCTAGAAAGGCAGAATCCAAAATACCTTAGAGGTCATGTAGTCTTGAAGGTCACTGAGTTGACCTTATAGACATGGACACTGAGGCTCAGAGAGAGACACGTGATGTGCTTAGTTATTGTTGAAACCCAGGATTCCAGTTCAACCACCCTCACCTTCGGGGTCCCCCTTATCAGTGACTACTCACTCTGTCCTAGGATGGGAATGGAATAAGGGGAAGGTGTGGAAACAGATACTGGTTCTCTCCCCAGTTATTGCCTGTCACAGGCCCCTTCCAGGAGGAAGGCCTGTCCCAGCCAGGCGGGGCTCTGTAGTGAGTAGCTACCTCAGAGTCCCTGGCAATTCCCCTTTCCATCTCCACCAGAAACTGGGGCAAATTCCAGAGTCGTCCAGGAAAGCGAGATAGTAAGGAGGGGGAGGGAAGGAAAATGCTGACTGTGCTTTCTCCCACAGGCAGCTGCCCAGCCCTGCAGGGAGGATGAAGAAGAGATTCTTTCCAGGCAACCAGACTTACAAAGGCATTCTGGTGCCTGGGGGAAAAAAAGAGTGCCAGGGGAGAGATCAAAGTTCCTTTCTGCTCCATCAGCTCCCAGGAACCCACAGGACCTACAGGCATTGTTGAGAGAGAGGAGCAGAAACAACAGACAGTGTTGGGACAGGTGGATGACAAAGCCAAAGACTAAGCTTCGCTCCGGCCGACTTCCTGCCCTTCTGGGAAATTAGAATAACTTCATTTGAACTCATCCTTTAGCCTTCTAGGGCATGTTTTAAAGTTAAAAGGGGAGGGAGTGACAGAAAAAAAAAAGCTAGTTTGAAGTCAGTCGAAATTTTGTCATTCTTTATGAACAGGGACAATTAGTAAAATGAATTTGGCCCCTTGTCCTCGTCCCTTCAACAAAAATCACATCCACTCTTTCCCAAGGCTGTTGTAAATAAGACACTGCAAATATTTGTTCTTTATAGGAGCTAATGCTGTAAAGGGAGTGTTATGGTCATCATGGCAAACATGTAAAGATAATTTATAAATAGGGACTAGAAAGTCTACTGAATCTTTTCTCTTCTTTCAAGACTACTGAAACTTCTTTGTTCTTTCATTCCCACCAAGCGTTCTGCACTTTGCTCAATGCATCTGGAAAAATAAAACTGTTAGAGAATACTAGAAGTTTAGACTCTCCATTTTACAAGCTGGAAAGTCGATGTTTGGCAAGGTACCTAGTTGAGACTTGAGTCATATGGGTTGATGGTTAAGGCAGGAGCCCTTAATCAGTATTCTCCACATGTATCTGTATGTCTGATGACTGAGATCACCTGGGTTCTTGTTGTGAGTCCCACATACCAGTCTCAGTGCTCTGCAATAGATCTGAAATGGGGGCTGGGAACCTATCAGAACTGACCACATAATGGAAAAGCGGAGGGGGTGGGGATAAACGAGTCAATAGCCTTTAAAGGGATGACAAAAACTCAGTAGCCAGGATAAATCGTATGTGAAGCAATACGTTCAAACAGTATTTTATTTTTAAATAAATGCACATTAGCATTATGAGGAGATTTCATTGAGATAATCTTATAGATGCAAGCAATATATTTTGAACAAGTTTACCCCCTTCTTTTTCAAATAGTTCTTGGTGGATACATGCAATATATAGTATTATATATAACTTTAATTTTCTAGAATGATGATAATAAGATATAATACTTTGTTTTTTAATACTTTATATAATATACAATACTTATTTTCTTCATTCCTGTGTCACTTTTCCCCTGGTTACTCCTGTGGATCTACCACAGTCCCCTATTTACATTCATGCATTATTATTATTATTATTAAGCTGAAGTCTTAGTTCCACAGATGAACAAAAGCATGTGATTTGGCTTTTTGAGCTTGGTTTACCTCACTCAACATGATGGTCTCCAGTTCCATCCATTTTCTTGCAAATGATATAGCTTCATTTTTATCTAGAGCTGAGTAATACATGTTGTGTGTATGTGTGTGTGAGAGACAGAGACAGAGACAGAGAGAGAGAGTTTTGTATTTTCTCTATCTTTTTATCAATTGCTGGGCACTTTGGTTGATTTCACAGCTTATTTATTATAAATAAAGCTGTAATAAACATGGGTATGTAGCTATCTCTGTTGCATACAGATTTACATTCCTTCAGCTATATGTTGAAGAATAGTATGGCAGGGTCTTAAGGTAGGTTTATCTTTACATTTGTGAGGAACCATCATACTGATTCCCATAATGACTACACTAGTTTACATTCCCATCAACAGTATATGCAGTATATGAGGGCTCCTTATACATCAAATTGCATCAAAAGTGTTCCTTCAGATCACATCCTGGTCAGCGTTTGTTGTTGTTTGTTTTGTTTTGTTTTGGTTTTGTTTTGTTTTGTATTCTTAATGATGCTATTCTCAATGGGTGAGGTTGAATCCTATGATTTACATTTCTTGACTATTTCTTCCTACATTTATTAGCCATTTATGTTTCTTCTGAGAACTATTTGCTCAATTCATTTGTCTGAATATTAACTGGATTATTTGTCTTTTTGCTGTTTAATTGCCGATCTCTTTGTACATTCTGGGTATTAATCTTTCCTCCAATGAACAGTTGAAGATTTTCTCCATTCTATGAATTATCTCTTGAAAATGATTTTCTTTAATAGTTTCCTTTAACATACCAATGCCTTTTAATTTGATGTAATCCCATTTGTCAATTCTTGTTGTAGTGTGGGCAACTGAATCCCATTCAGAATATGCATCTTCCAAGGCTTTCCCTTTGTTTACCTGTCATCCGTTCAAAGTTTCAGGTTGAACATTGAGTTCTTGGATCCCTTTGGAGTTTGTTTTGGTGCAGGTGACAGGGGTGTAGTTTCAGCCTCCTGTGAGCAGACACCATTTTTTTCAGCACCATTTGTTGAAGACGCTGCCTTTTCTCCAATATATTATTTTGGCTCCACTGTCAGAAATCATCTGATCAGCTATCAGCTATCATCTATAGCTGTGTGGTTTTATTGGATTTATTCTGTTCCTTGATCACACCTGTTTTTGTGCCAGTACCATACTTTTTGTTGTTGTTGTTGTGGCTCTAGTATAATTTGGTATTGTGATGCCTCCAGAGTTTCTCCTTTTGCTCAATATTATTTTTTACTATTTGGGACTCTTTTAAGTTTCCATATGAATCTTAGGATCAATATTTTCCATTTTTGCAAAGAATGACATTGGAACTTAGATGGGCATTGAATTGACTCTGTAGATTTCATTCAGTAGTATAGTAATTTTCACAATATTAATTCTTCCAATACATGAACATTGGAAGTCTTTCCATCTTCTGATGTCTTTAATTTTCTTTCTTCAAGGTTTTATAGTTTTCACTTTGAAGTTCTTTCACCTCCTTGGTTAACTTTATATAGATTTATTTACTTATTTATTGAGACTATTGTAAATGGAATTGCTTTCCTTATTTTTTCTCTTAGCATTTGTTATTAATATATACAAAATGCTGATTTTATATCCAAATCCATTGCCAAAAGTGTTCATCATGTCCTGAAGGTTTTTGGCAGAATCTTCTTGGTCTTTTAAAGGTAAGATCATATCATCTGCAAATAGGAATAATTTGACTTCCTATTTGAATTTTTTTTTTTTTTTTTTTTTTTTTTTTTTTTTTTTTTTTTTTTTTGTCGGTCGTGGGGCTTGAACTCTGGGCCTGGGCGCTGTCCCTCAGCTCTTCAGCTCAAGGCAAGCGCTCTACCACTTGAGCTACAGCGCCACTTCCGGTTTTCTGGTGGTTTATTAGAGATAGGAGTCTCACGGTCTCTCCTCCCCGGGCTGGCTTTGAACCGCGATCCTCAGATCTCAGCCTCCTGAGTAGCTAGGATTACAGGCGTGAGCCACCAGCGCCCGGCCCTATTTGAATTTTTTATTTAATTCTTTTGTCTTATTGCTCTGCTAGGAACTCCAGAACTGTATTGGATAAGAGTAGGGAGAATAGAATCCTTGTTTTGTTCCTGACTTTAGAGAAAATGATTTGTTTTTCCATTTAGTATAATGCTGGCTATCGGTTTATCATACTTAACTCTTATGTCAAGTACATTCCTTCTATTCCTAGTTTCTTCAGAGCTAATCATAAAAGGTAGTTGACTTCTGTCAAAGGTTTTAGTTACATACTTGAGATGATTGTGTGATTTTTGTCCTTGATATTGTTTATGTGTTGTATTACATTTATTGAGTTACAAACTATCCTTATATTCCTGGAATGAAACCAGCTTTATTGTGATGTAAGATCTTTATAATGTGCTGTTGAATTTGATCTGCAAGGATTATATTGAGAGTCTCTGCATTTATATTTATCAAAGAGATGGATTTTTTGTTGTGCCTACCAAATACCTAATTCCTCAAAGTTCCAACAACTTCTAATTCCTCTCAGTTCCAATAAAAAAAAATCTATGATGAACTAAGACAAGATCACTAACAGTGTTGGCTCATCTTGGAAGCTGGAGCAAGAGGAAAAAACTAGTAATACTAATTCTCTTGCTCTTGACTAAGCACTTCCCTTTGATTTTTATCATCATCCGAATGTGGAAAATTCTGCCATGGACAAGTAGACTTCTGGTTTTTCTCTTTTCTAGGAGACACATTTTGTTTGCAATTCTTTAAGTAATTGCTCTTCCTTACTGGTCCTTCAGAAAAGCTGATCAGGAGGCAATCAAAACCTCTGGAAAAAGAACCTAGAAATCTATAAATGCCTAGATGAATTCTGATCCCAGGCAGGTTTGAGAGATCCAGTCACCCTAGGGAAATCTGAAAGACAAGTGGTTCAACCCAAGTTGCTCAGGCTCCTTACCTTCTCTGTGTCAATGCCTCTGGACATGGACCAGGTAGACACAATATAGTCCATGACTCGCTCACTCAGTCCTTTGGGTACCTGGTAGAGCTTCAGGAAGTCCCGGACACTGTTGAGCATCTCATGGTATCTGTTGGTGTTGGCATACATCTGCTGGAAAATGGTGGTCACATTCCCAAAGATAGTGGCATAGAGGAGCGCTAGAGGTAAAGAGGGCAGAAGAAAAAGAGAATGAATGGCTCCTAAACCAGTATCCCAGAGCAGACCAGTGACCAGAGCTGCCTTTCTAATATAGACGTTCCTGACCTCCTCAGAACTGGAGCAGATCCAAATAAAATGTCTTCTGGCATCAGGTTCTAGTACAAATATGTAGGAGGCAGGATCAGGATCAGGGTAAATGGGAGTTAGTGTAGCCAGACACAGAGTTCAGACACATATGGAGGGTGCAGTATTTCCCCTTGAATTTATAGTTCTTTTTGTTGTTGGTGGTGGTAGTGGTGGTCGTGGGGCTTGAACTCTGGGCCTGAGCGCTGTCCCTGAGCTCTTCAGCTCAAGGCTAGCACTCTTACCACTTGAACCACAGCACTACTTCCAGTTTTCTGGTGGTTTATTGGAGATAAGAGTCTCACAGACTTTTCTTGCCCCGGCTGGCTTTGAACTGTGGTTCTCAAATCTCAGCCTCCTCAGTAGCTAGGATTACAGCGAGAGCCAACAGCGCCTGGCAAATTTACAGTTCTTACTACACAACCTTTGAGTTTTTGTAATTGGACTGAGGCCATCAGTCTAAGGTCTGTCTAACTACTTCTTAGCAATCTAAAACCAAAACTATGAGCAAACAATCTTTATGAAGCTCTGCTGGGTGCTAAACACAATACCACTTATGGGGGATGGAACAGTGAATAAGACAGTCCTGATCCTCACGGAACAAACAGTGTAGCAATAAGAATAGACTTGATGAATACATAATCATAGATAATTAAATAACTGCAAGTCTGCAGAGGGCAATGAAGGAAATAGTAACTGTGTTTTCACTTATTGTTAAATCCTTGTTTTGCACTTACTGCTAACACAACAATCTGCTATTAGGGAAAAAGCATGGCTTTTATATGGTAAGAATAAAATCACACTCCCTTAGCGATATAACAACTGTATACCACAGGTTACTACAATTCTGTTTACATTTGTAGCTTGAAGAAGGGCCACTATGTTATTACAAGACCCCATCTTCCATCTCTAAATTCCATTTGCTCTTAAATGCTGACCCACCACTTCCAGGAAGTCTTCTGTGACACCCTGTCCCCTCTATTATGATTAAGGTGATGATGAGTTATCGGGAATATTTATACAGAGTTCCTATTATACTACAGTGCAATCATACACGACAGAATATATGATCACACGAACATTGCTTTCTTAACATTATAACCCTTATTCTAACACTAATCTAGTACTCTGTTATATTAGTGAAGTTTATATTTCTGTTCTTGCTTTCTTAAATATGTTATTGATCCACAATAAACTTCATATACGCAAAGTCTAATTTGATTCATCTTGACATATGTATATACCCGTATACACATGAGAATAGACTAGCATCACCAGACTACAATCAAGATGGTAGTTAATCCACTACCTGCCTGTGACCCTTGGTACTTCCTCCACTCCACCTGTAGCCACCCACTTTTCCATCCCCAAGAAACCACCCATCTCCTTTTTGATACCATATATTAGCTTATATTTTCTAGAGTTTTATATTCATGGAATTATACAATATATTCTCCTTTTGAAGGCTACTTTAAGACAGAATTTAAACACCATATCATTTAAAATGTAAATTCAATGAGTGTAAGTACATTTTCAGAATTATGTGTCACTACAATCTAAGTTTCTCCCTATGAAGAAATCCCATATATCCATTATCTGTCTTCTCCTGTGCTCCAAATTACTTAGCCATATACAACTACAAATCTACCTTCTGTCTGTATGATTTATATATTCTGGATATCTCACATAAATTTAAAATCATTTGACCAGCTTTTTTCTCATTATAGCCTGTGTTGGTTCTTCCTTTTTATTGTTGAATAATAGCTCATTGCATGAGAACATCTACTCCATTTCATTTAGCCACTAATTGTTTAATGAGTATTTGAGTTTTTTTCTCCATTTGGGGTATTATGAATAATGCTGCTATCAGTGTTCATGCTCAAGCTTTAGTGTGATTTATTTGTATCTATAAATCTGTAAGTAAATGTGTTGGGCTGGGCCCTATGCAGTGGTTACAAATGAATTAACTGAAGTAAAATAGATTCTATGGAGAGTATAATCTTTTAGAACGACTAAGCCAAAGCCCAACACAATCAATATCAGAAAATGGGCACATCTGAGGGGGGGGGGCCGAAATGATGGGGGAAAGGGAGAAGAAGGCAGATGAGAATTCATTGTATATTCCACAAAATTAAGAAAAAGAGAGGGCGTGAGAGTGCAGAAGGGTGACACTGAGTAAGATGCTCTGTATTCATAAACTGCTTTGTTATATGGTACCTCCTTTGTACAGGATAATACTTTAAAAAACTAGTACAGTAGAGTGCCAATAGTGTGCACTTGTTATCGTAGCAAGTTGGGGGACTGATGACAGATTACTGTTCCAGACCAGCCTGGTCAGAAAAGGCTGCCAGGCCCTTTCTCAGCTCAGAGCCAGGAGCAGGGTCACATGCCAGTAATTCTGAGCAAGTGGGAGTTTGAGATTGGCAAGACCCAGGTTCCAGCCAGCCAGTTAGAAAAGTCTGCAAAACTCCACCACAATGGAAAGGAAGATGTGTATAGTCACGTGTGCCTCTCATTCCACTTAGGATGGTAAGAATAAAACAGGCAGATAGGTCCATGTGTGCACACACCAAGGGTAGGCAAGACCCTATCTCACAAATAACCGGATGAACAAAAAGAATTACAGGCATGGATCAGTGGTAAAGTGCCTGCCTGGCAGGCACTAAATTCGAATTCTAGTATCATACCCCATCCCTCCAAAAAAAAATACAAGGAAAAGGAAGAAGAGGAGGAGTAAAAAGAGAAAGAGGAAGAAGAAAGAAGTGGAAGAGGAGGAGAAAGAGGATTAATCATGGTTCAGCGCCTGATTACTAGATCTGAGTTTATTTGGGCTTGCTTCCTTGTTGTCATTGAGTTTGTTCCTTACTCAACAAGCCTGTTAGACAGTCCTGTTCCTGATCTACAAGGAATTAGGGGTCACTAGTAAAGAGTAGAAGTGCATTTATTTCTTTTAGGATGGCTGTCAAAATACTAACTTATTTTCAAGCTTAGCAAGGTAGTAACACCAAATTAATAACACTGTAAAGAAAACTCTTGTTTATGATATAAGAACAAACAGCAAGCTCAGACACTGCCAGGCTGGTCAGAAAGTCGTGATGCTACACTGTGATTTATGGTTCAGGCCTACTCCTGTCCTGTCCTGATCCTTTTCTGAGACATTCTGGAAGATTAAAGGTCCTTAAATTGGCTGTATTTCATGATGATAATGATGATGATGATGATGAAATATACTAAAATATATTGCTAATTCAGCAATAATTTCTCTTCCCTAATTTTGCATGAAGTTGCATTGCATGTTTGACATCTTGTCATCTATACTGTATCTGAAATACTCTGAAATTCTCCAATCCTAAAAGTGAGAGAAAGCATGTAAGTCGAGTTACCACCCAAATGGTTGCATGAGTGTGGTACAGAGAGAAAGGGCGGTGGAGTGTAACATCAGTGTGCTGAAAAAGGTCAGGCACAGAGCATTTTGGGTTGCACTAAATGTGGATTTCTTTAGTCCTTCTACTTAGAGAAAAGAGACTTTTTCCCAACCCAGGACAAAATACTGATTTGTAGAAGAGAACATTTTTTATTTGAATGGTTTTGATTTTATATCCTAGCAAGATTTTTGGGTCTCATTCAAACAACACAAAACAGTATTTTCTGGGCTTTAATGAAAAATAGATATATAAAATCGGGAGGGGAAGGCAGCCAAAGTTTTGCCAATTTTTTGTCTAAATGATAAACAATTGCAGTCCAAAGAGTTAAATGCCCAAGATATATGTTAAAATCCTTACAACTTTGGCCTGTCCTTCTTTTCATCCAATTTCCTGTTGTGAAGAAGCAATAACTTACAATTTTATTAGCTTTTTATCTCCATATTTGAACATTATGCTTAAATGGCTATGTCCTGATATTTCTGTGTGAGGTATTTTCTAATCAGCTGGCGTCTGAGAATTTAGCACTTTCCTGCTCACCTCTAAATTCACAATCATTTCACATGTATCTAAATATAACTATACTACCATTTGGGCTAGATTAACATCTGTGTATATATTAGTACAACTAAGCAAAGGCGTCTCACAGCTAAACTACACAGTAGTATATCACAGTATACTTTTATGCAATGTGTTCTTTCCCCTATACTTAAGATGGTCTTAATCTTTTCATTTGCTTAGTTTCCTTTCTTACTCAACACCAAAATCTCAGAGAGATGTAAATCTCTTCTTAATACATTCAAACACATTAGTCTGTCAATTTTATTCTTTCAAAAAAATTTTGCTGTGGGCTTTCAAACCGTTGCATTACCATCTGTGTGGATCTATCTCCACTAGTAAATCAGAACTTTGTTTCACTTATTAAGGTTAAATCCCCTTATTAGGAAGTCTCATGTCCTCTTTCTTGAGTTGCTTTTTTCCAACAGACCTTCTCTAGTAACTCTATACTAGTTCAGCTAATTATATAGAATTCCAGATTGGAAATCATTCTGGAAAACTTTTAGTAGCATTTCTCTAGTCTTCCCTTGTTCTTGGGAAGTCAAAATCATTCATATCCTCATCCTTCATTCTGCTTCATCTCTCTGGAAAGTTTTCCCACAATGTTCTGACATCTTAATATGCACCACTTATTATGGTTCCATCTTCATTCATTGTGATAAATGTTGAACAAACCCTTTCAACCTGAAAACTTAGGATCTTCATGTCAAAGGAATCAAGTTTTCTTGGATTTGTTCTTGTGTGATTTCAAACCTTCTACGTTATTCTCTTTCAGCAGGCTTCTTATTATTCAGATGTTGGACTCCTGGATTACCCCAATTTTCTTTTTCCCTATGCTATTTTCTAATAGTTTATATGAGGGTTCTTCAATTTTTATGCTTTGTATTTCATTTTTA